CCCGGCCCCTCCCCTTTATTACATAAGAGAAGACATCTCAGACTTCAGGGGCAAAGAAGCAGTTGAAGGATAAGGCATTCTAAGTTATTTTGCCATCGTCCTTGACTTGAATCATTTCTTAAAAAGTTATATAAACTAGACAAAACTTCAGCTTTACTTGGGAAAGAGAGATGATTACATTAACCTAACTCAAAAAGATTATGTTAAAAATGCAGCAATTTAAAGTGCATGCTAAGAAATAGTCATACATTAAAATCTGGTTAATACTTCAGCTGTCTTATGAGGTGTGCTGTTAACGCACAATCATATTTCTATGTTATGACTAGGCTCTAAAGCTACTGAGGCATAGATTCTCCTACATATTCAGTCACCACACTATGAGAAATGCTGCCTGCTCCCCACCAGAACCCAAGAGCATATGACAACCCTGCAAAAGGCAGGGGGAAGGAAAGATATTTTTAGATGTTAATTAAGAGCTATAAAAGCATGGCATCGTGTGTTTATCAAGAATAGGGAAATTTATCAGCTTTAAGAGTAAAACTCTATACTTTGTCTTTTCTCTGCCTTACATCTTTCTAGTTTTGGAACCAGGAGAACCTTGGAATACATTGCTTGTTCAAATGTGGAGTCAGATAAAATTGCATTCTTTTGCAACATAGGACCTTTCAGTATAACACACAAATGAGAACATTTCATCTAGAGACATATTGAGAAATAGTGGTTTCAGGTTTTTGACACTCTTGTAACTTCTGAAGAGAGATCAAAGTACATAGCACCCATGTTTAGGCCTTATTTAGGTAAAACTACCTTCTGTAGGTCTTTGCGCTATCCTGAAGTCACCCATCATCAGCCAGGTTTGCAGAGGACGCTGTAAAGGCATGAAATGAAGATTAACCCTTGCTTGCCTAGACCGAACCCATCATCAGGACAGTTTATTACAATGCTGTTTTCCTCTGAGCTCCCCCCACCGAGGCCCTGTTTTCTCACTAGACCACTAACCTCCCAAGCCCCTCTCTTTTCTAGAGGGGCCTCGGCATCTCACAGTGCTTTTAACTGGTGCTCCAGTTTCCTAATTGCCAGCAGCCACCTCCTTCTCATCGGAAGGGGTTGCCCCAGCACGCTCCCTGGGGCTCCTTGCTCTTCGGTCCTGCAGTTCTGTCCGTCCTGCTGTTCCCACACCATTGCTTTGCTGGACTGAGAGCTCCCTTCGAGTTGATTACGGACTCCTCAGCCCACTTTGATGGGCTGTCCTGTACGAGGCCACTTCCTTTAAGCATTCGATTATCCACAGGCTGGATTAGAGTGAAGCTGAGGGCCACTTGCTCGGATTATCAGGATCCAGTGTTCCAGGAGAAGGTTTCAATGGCTGACCCTTTTCCTCTAGCTTCGGGTCATCTCCACCTTTGTTCAAGGCCCCTCATTCTTGTGGCCCGGGTGACTGACCACAGCTCCCAAAGACCCTCCACTGCCTCTGCAGGATTTAGGAACTGCATGAAAACAGGGTCCCGGCGGCCTGCCCTGATAGTCAGACTTCCTGACTGAAAATGGAAGTTATCCCCCCATCAGCACCACCACCCTGCATCTCGGTCATTAGTGTGAAACACACATAAACTGAATGTAGAGCAAAATTATTATTTTGTTCAAAGGACTTAATGGAGAAAACTCAAAATTGCACATTAATTCTAAGAATTAGAAATTAGAAGTGAATCTGTGACTTTACTTAGGCTTACGGCCAAGCACATGACTTTCTGTCCCTTTCTAAGTTGGAGCGATAGTGTTGGCCATCATAGTAGAGAGTAAATACAACTAATTCAATGATGATTACCTGTCACTGGGGCTTGACAGTTATATTAATGTTATAATAGGAGAAAAAGAGAAAATATAAATAATGCATAATTCAGTATAATTTTAC